CAGATATTACAAAATCTGAGGAAGGTAAGTATGGACAAAAGAATCACTTCCTCTGGATTAAGAATCCGAATGGATTATTAAATAAGAATACATCTCATAAGAAAAGAAATATTTATGCAACCGATACTTTCAAAGTTTTCTATCTAAAAAATCATTAGACCATCACCAGCAATGGTGTTTTGGTTTGGGTGAAGCCCCAAAAAGAGTCACTATACCTGTAAAAGATGTTAATGATTTCAAAGAGTTTAGGAATTATAGACGTCAGATAAATGCTTCATGTATTATTTTTGCAGATTTCGAATCAATAAAAAAGAAGTGTGACATACATTATGGTAGTAACATGCAAAAGATGGCAGAGGAAGAAGTTAATAGTTTTAGCTATAAAGTCCACTGGATTGATACTGGAGAAACATGAGGCCCCTTCTTATATCGCGGAGAAAATGCCACAGAAGAATTCATTCGAAGGATTGATCAAGAATTGGTAGAAATAAATAAGGTCTTAACTATTAAGTATGAGCATATTATTACAGATGATTACTAAAGAAGGTTTAAAGTGGCAGATAGGTGTTGGATCTGTGAAGACAAGTTTAGTATAGATACAGATAAAATTAATAGGTTAGAAAGAAAGATTGCAAATCTTACCGACAAGCTTACAGAAATTGTTCAAGATCCTAAATCGCATAATAAGATAAATTCACCTGGAGATATATCAAAGAGAATCTGGAAATGGAAAAGAGTACCAAATCAGAAAAGGATCTTAAAAATCTCTATATAGAATTGCTAAAGGCTGTTAAGAATCCTGAAGACTATAAATCCTTAAAATTTGCAATCTCTAAAGCATAAGCTGAACTTGCTAGAGAAGAAGCTAGAGATAAAAAGGTCTGGAATCACTGTTATATCACAGATAAGTTTTGAGGAGTATCCTATAATACTTGCAATCTTAAACTTCAGATTGAGCTATGAAAGATGCCAATCCCAATTATATTCCATAACTTCCTGGAATATGACTCTCACTTGGTCTGTAAATCTGTTAGACACTCAGGTAATTCTCTTCGAATTTCTGTTATTGCTGAAACATTTAAGCGATACAAATCTATAAAAGTAGGTCAACTTAAATATATTGATAGTATGCAATTTATGAATACTAGCTTAGCCTCTCTTACAAAGAATTTGGGTGATAACCACCCAATTACAACTGAGTATTTCAAGAAGCAAGGCTATTCTTCTGAACAGATTTCATTAGCATATCGCAAAGAAATCTTTTCTTATGAATACATAGACTCTCATGACTAATTTAAGGAAACAAAATTACCTTTGATTCATGAGTTTCATAGTGTTCTTGGAGGTAAAATTTCACAAGAGGATTATAATCATGTCCAAAATGTATGGAAGGAATTTAGGTGTAAAGAACTTGGGAGAATATAATGATCTCTATTTCAAAATAGACGTGCTTAATCTAGCAGATGTTTAGATAACATTTAGAAAGACATCAATACATCATTATGGTCTTGATCCCAGTCATTATGTATCTGCACCTTTTCTATCCTGGGAATACCGAAACCAGCATCCGATGCGATCGAAACTAAAAATAAAAGAAAATTAAAAAATAAATTTAAAAAAAACCTATCTAAACCAATTAAAAATCTAAAAAAAAAAATTAAAAAAAATTAAAATACTATCTCGAAAATCTAAAAAAAATACTAAAATATAACATTGACCCGATATTACAATATTTAAAAATAATTATAATATATAATTATATAATTAAAGAAAATAAAACTTACCAACTCGCATTCATTTTTTAGATCAAAATATTGATCCTCAGATATTCATCGGATTCCTGGAAGAGGTAAGTTATAATAGAGAAATTTATTTATTTATAATAATACATCCTAATACTTAATTCTTACTTTGTAGAACGTTTTAAAACCAAACCTTTAGGGTCAGATTAAAGTAAACCCTAAGTTTTCATTTTTTAATTTTTTTTTAAAAAAAAAAAAAATGCTATTAACTTACCTTTGTTGACCGATCTGAAATTTATAAAACTTGGAATCATGCATGGAGGTAAGTCTTAATTTAATAAATAATTTGTTATTTTTTAAAAAAAAAATTAAACACACCTTTGTAGAAAACAGTCCTGGTCAAATCGAATTCAATTCGAGATAAGTCAAATTGAATTCAAATCATATTGAGTCAAATCGATTCAAATCTGATTCGAGTCAAGTCGAATCGAATTGAATCTGAGATAGATCGGATTCGAGTCAAATCGAATCAAATCAAATCTGATTTGAGTTAAGTTCTGATCTAAGTCAAGTTGAATCAGATTTGAATCAAATTTGATCTGATTCGATTCGTGCAGAACCCTATTTAGGGGAGATAGCTAGAGCTGAGAGAATAGCGAAGATTTCAGCTTGAGTTGAAGAGAGCAAATAGTTAATAGAAGTATTGAATATTAATTGTGAATTTAAATCAGTATAATAGATCTAGCTAATACTCATTTTACATCAATCAGTTTTTGGAACAGAGAGAGAAATGTCTGTGTAAAATGATAAAAATTTACAGGTAGAAACTTTTGAGTTAATTGATCGCAGTTTTCGTGATATGAGGAATTCTGGAAGATTCATTCAATAAGATCTTGAGAAGGAGAAGGAGTATTGGGTATGTCACAGATAGAATGAGATTGTGCAACTTATAGTGATTTTATGCAATGTGTATCTAAGTTGATGAGACACTGTTTTAGCAGATTTTGGTGTAATGAAAACTTATACTGCTCTGTGTTTTGCCATAGCAAAATTACAGAAGTCATAATATAGTGTTGATGGAAATCTATATTAAATATCACATTTGACAGGCCTTCCAATATTGTTCTCAGAGGAGTAGATGTAATGTTGAATGATGAACTCATTTGGCTTAGTATTTTTATTTATAATTTAACTGAAAACAAGTGCAGTATTATTCAGCTCCCAGATAGAACAAATTTTCTTTCTGTCTGCTAGCATTAAAGGTTTAGCTAGATTGAAATAGTTGAAAAGAGAATCTAGAAAATATTTCTCTTTAAGAAGGTTATCTGAAAGACTATCTAATACAAAAGATTCTAAAAGGAATATAAATTTTGAATGACGTATTTTTGTAGTAGAATGATTGAAGTCTCTATATAAAAAGTCAGCCCAAGTAATAAGGTAACGTCCTATAAATAATGTAAGCTGATCTAAATAGAAGAGATTATGCTTTTTTAGTATGTAATGATGATGGATGAAAACATTAAAAGTAATGATTTTGTAAAGTGAAGTAGTTTCTTCAACAATTTGTTTTTTTAAGAATAGGAAAACATATACATGAAAAATTTTGAGAACTATGACTGATTAGACTTAAAAAAGTACTAATTAAATTTTTATATGATTTACTACTATATGGATGGTGCCAATGTTCCAAAGGTGAAATAGCTAACATAATGAGCGATTGTAATTAGAACAGTCTGATAGTCAAGATATTCTTATAAAATGTTAAACTGGTTTAGAAGAGTGGTAGAAATTGATTAAGTTTGAAGTGATCATAGATTATTAAGATTATAAAAATATTTAAGGTGTAGGATGACTGTGGGAAGAGTAGAAGAAAAGTGAAGTTTGATTTGAATAGGGCAAATAAGATATCACATTCATGATAAAGAAGTAGTTTGCATGCAATATTCAAGTAAATGACAAAGGATTGTATTAATGATATAGGGTTTTTGCAATAGAAAAGGGGGAAATTGCTAAAAAATCAAAAATGAGTTAATGGCAATTTTGAATATATTTCAGCTCAAGGAATATATTTGGATTATTAAAGTAAGTTATATTACATAATAAAATTTTGAGATACTTCAAGATAAATCTTTTCGTATATAAATCTATTATTAGTAGCAAA